ATATATATATATATATATATATATATATACAGTATATTGGATATTTCTGGTGATTTTGGCCGATGGTTATAAATCAGGAATGTTATGGAAGCAGTGTTAATTTTGACAGCAAATTTTGATTTAGCTTTAGTTACAGTCTTTTGACTAAAATGCTATTTAGTTTTAGTCTCTTCCCAAATCATCCCTCTGTCACATTTTCATCTCGTTTTTATTCATTGACGAAAATAACAGTAGATTTTCATCGTATTTTTTTGTCATTCAGAACTGTTTTCATAACAAAATGTCATTGACTAAAATTATGACAAATTATTCATCAACAAAATTAATTACGGTTGAACCACTGATGTCACATGGACTATTTTAACAATGTCCTTACTACCTTTCTGGGCCTTGAACGTGGCAATTATATTGCTGTCTATGCATATAAAATTATAACACATATGTAAAAATTAAAAAAATTAAACACCAATGTTGCTATCAAGGATACTTCAAAATATAGCTTTGTACTTAACTCTTGAGTCATGACCCAATATCCACTTTTTTTCCCCGCATGCCACTGGTATCCTGCCACCACACTGGTCCAGTTATCACACTCACAGGCACAGGCCTACTTCCCACCAAATGTAGAAATGGTCCAAATGATGTCACTTCATTTTGAATTTGAAGAAATTCTGATTATATCATAACAGAATAATGCTAATGCAGAAGCTTTTTACTTTCATTTTAGAGCTGATGGAAGAGAACGAGGAGAGTGAAGAACTGAGTGAAGTGGAGGAGAAACATCATGACAAACCTGGAGAAAAACCTTTGAGTCACTCAAAGACTAAAAAGACATTTAAAAAAAAACCTTTCACCTGCACTCAGTGTGGAAAGAGTTTCTTAAACAAACAAAGTCTTAAGCGTTACATAAGAGTTCATACTGGAGAAAAGACCCATGCATGCGATCAGTGTGGGAAGAGTTTCATGCGATCATCAGACCTTGCGAGACACATGAGAATGCACTCTGGAGAGAAGCCGTTCACATGTGATCACTGCGGGAAGAGGTTTCCATACAAAGAAAGTCTTAAAGTTCACATGAGAGTTCATACTGGAGAGAAGCCGTTCACCTGTGATCAGTGCGAAAAGAGATTCTCCAACAAACAAAATCTAGAGATTCACATGAGAGTTCATACTGGAGAGAAGCCGTTGACCTGCACTCAGTGTGGAAAGAGTTTCACATACAAAGGAAATCTTAAAGTTCACTTGAGAATCCACACTGGAGAAAGACCGTTCACATGTGATCAGTGCAGGAAGAGCTTCTCACAATTAGCACAACTTAAAGAGCACATGAACATCCACACCGGAGAGAAGCTGTACGCATGTGATCAATGCGGCAGAACATTTATTGGGGCATCAGCCCTGAAGACACATCTGAGAGTTCATAAGAAGGAGAAGCCGCATTCATGTTCTGTATGTGGAAAGAGTTTTTCACTGCTGCCATATTTACTTAAACATCAGAAAATACATAATGATGTAAGAGATCATGTGTGCTTTGAGTGTGGGAAGACTTTTACTTCAGTGAGCAGTTTAAAACGGCGCCAGATGATTCACACTGGAGAAAAACCTTACAAGTGTTCACACTGTGACAAGAGATTCAGTCAGTTAACACATCTGCAAACACACGAGTGGATCCACACTGGAGAAAAACCGCATGCATGTGATCAGTGCGGGAAGAGTTTCACTGTTAAAAGTCACCTGAAGATACACAAGAGGATCCATGCAGTGGAGAAACCAGATCAGCGCCGTCTGAAATCACGTTAAGTTATTCATCTTTATGTGCTGAGCACATAACAGCCACGATGAGCGACAGGACAGTTTGTTGAATGCTTTGTATCTGCTTGGAAAGTTTCTCATTACTTATATAATTATTATTATTGAGATCTAAGTCATTATAATGAGAAAGTTATTCTCATTATTATGAGATCGGCATAATTATGAGAAAGTCTGATTATTTTTATGTTCATATTTAGATTTTTGTAACTGTGATGGAAAAAGGCTTCCATACTTTGTCCCGCTGATGTCTCATGACTGAAACTGATGAATACAAAGCAGCGCTGCTCAGCTTTCTGTTTCTGGCACCCGCTTGTTACGGAGAAGAAGGAACAAGTTCAGATGATTGTATTTGCTCTGGTGTTCATCAAGAATACAGAGACGAGAGATGCTTCCAGATTCTTCCTCTGTTATTTGCTGGCAGTCAGTAACAGTCTGTTTGTGAGACACCGAGTGGTAGTTTTATGTAACAGCAGCGGCTCTGGACATGTAACCAAAAGCACACATCTTATTGGCTGTTCAGCTTTTTTCACAGAGCAATGCAGAAGAGATTTAAACACCTGTAGCGTCTGCGTAGAATCATGCATGATCTTTGGGGTTTTATGGCTTAAGAGACCCTTTTAGCTTTTGACATTTGCATATAAATTACAGTCCTGGTCACAGACTTTACACTTATATGGGTGCTAAATGGCCAATGGTTCCCCCCACTATCAAGGAGATGCTAAACAGTTTCACCACTCTCGTCTCCTCATTGAACTTCAAACACATTCCAAAGAGACGTAAATGACCCTCGGGGCCAGGCACCAATGGGCCTGGCTGACCAAGCAAACTAACGCACACACACACACACACACACACACACACACACAAACACACACACGTAAAGACCTTTACTCTATTTAGACAATAATTGAGCAGTTACAAATATATCTGGTATATTGCATGTGTTGTTTGTACGTTTCCCTATTAGATTAGCTGAGTTACC